GTACATTTTAAAATATGGTCGAGCACTTTCGTAAAGGGGAGTGTTAGATATAGCACGTATAGCCCAATTTCGCAATATCAACAGAGCATTAAGGTTTGTGGTGGTCGTTGTTAGCCACACCAAGGAGCAGTATGTTAGTCATGAATATACTAGTGCGTAGTAAATTTGCAGCATGACATTTGATGGGACGTAGTATCTCAGTCCATTTAAAATGCCGATTCTCCTGGAAAGATCTTTTTTATCGCGTCAATGTGAGGAGACCAAGAAAGTTGTTCTTGGAATAGAACTCCTAGAAATTTTATTGTTGTTGTGCGCTGAATCTCGGTGCTCTGGAAGTAAATTGGAGTGCATGGTATGTGAGCGACTCCTTTAGGCTTGAAACACATGTACTTTGCTTTAGCGATAATCAATTGAAGTTTATTTGCATTTAACCATGAATTTAGTTTCTCCAACCAAACGTTAGCTTCTTTATATAGTTCACATACGTTTGAACCTGCGAAAAATACATTTGTGTCATCAGCATACAATATTATTTTCTTGTGTCCATGAATATTTACAATATCATTAATGAACAGCAGGATTAGGATTGGTCCAAGAATCGATCCCTGGCGGACAACATACTTAATGTGTTCAACTTGAGAGTGTGTATTATTTACAACGATATGTTGTTTTCTTGACGAGAGATAACTTTGTAATAATTGAGCTGTGGTACCCCGAATGCCATAATACGGTAGTTTTTGTAAAAGTAGATCGTGTTGTATACTGTCAACTGCCTTTCTAAAATCCAGAAATATTCCTAGTGTAATGATTTTGTTTTCAATGTTGTCTAGAATGTATTCTTTGATGCTGAGTAGAGCCGACTCAGCAGACTTGTTTTTGCAAAATTCATACTGGTCTTTTGCTATTATATTGTTTGCGTTTATAAAGCCCGTAATTCTCTTATATATAACTCGTTCAGCCATTTTCGCAAACACAGAGAGTACAGATATAGGTCTGTAATTGTTAAGCTCATCAAATGACCCACCTTTATGCATGGCTGTTACTTTCGCAAGTTTCATTTGATCGGGAAAAACACCTGAAGATAGCATCAAGTTATAAAGGTGCGTTAGTGGTGTAGCGATAATGTGACTTATAGCCTTTAAAGGCTTTGGCTTAATGTCATCTGGGCCGTAAGCACAGTTATCCTTTAATGACGTGATTAGCTTTACCACTTCTTGTTGATCAGTAGGAAACAGGAATACACTAGACGGGTAATTTGATGCTATATAGTTCTCGCAACACGTTTCCGTGCTGTCCGTGGTAAACTCACCAACTGTTAAAAAGTGTTTGTTAAAGGTGTCAGCGATTTCTAATTTACTCATGCTCAGTTTTTCAAATTTTATTCGTCTGGATATCTCCTTTTTGTTAATGAGCTGATTTTTTGTGTCCCACAGCAGGCGCGCGTCTCCTGAATGAGTGGTAAATTTACTAATGTTGTATTCTTTATTGGCACTCTTCAAATCTTTGTTCAGTGTATTACGAAATTTTTTGAAGTTACGTAAATGGATTTCGTCCCTGGAAGATAGGAAAACTTGAAAAAGGTTGTTTTTGGCTTTAATTCTGTTGTATAAATTCACTGTCACCATGGTTTTCTGCAATTTCTGTGTTTTTGTAAGGCTTAAAAGGGAGGCACGCGTCATATAAAGATGTAAAGTGTTTTAAAAATACGTTGTATGATTTATTAGGATTAATTTCTTCTATAACCGTGCTCCAGTCAATTCCAGAGATAAGGTTCTCAAAAAGTTTACAGTTGCGGCTAGAATAACTCCTAGAAAGCAATTCATCCTTACTTTTGATTACACGATTGCCTGGTAGGAAGCAGTATGTTGGAATATGGTCGCTAATGTTGGTAGTAATTGCACCTGCTTTGACATCAGTAGTATCGAAACTTGTAATACATATGTCTTACGTTGTTTCCGATATGGCGGTTATTCTTGTTGGGGTGCTAATTACATTCATACAACCATATGCTTCGATTAGTTCATTTAGGCGTACGTAGCTGGGGTTATCTAGTGACACATTGATGTTAAAGTCACCTACCAAGACAGTCTGTAAGCGAGAATCTAGAGATTTCTTGGTGTGTTTTTTAATTGTTGGTATTGATATAACTGCATATACGCCCGCCATAGATTCCCTGCGAAGGCCAGGAAAACGGCTGTCGCTCGGAATCGCCACTCTGTAATTGCATTTCTGGCATTCATTGACCTTCACTTGTTTCAGGTACAATTTAGGTAACAGCTAGACATGCTGCAATGCTCAAATGCAGAAACCTAGAGCATCGCAACTCAGCTGCTTCGAGCGCAGCCTTAGGCATCTCTCATAATTATATGGTCGTTTTGGGACGTTAAACCTCACAAATCAATCATCGAGCGCAGCCTTACCCTGTGCCCCATCCCAGTCAGACCTATCATGCCAGCCGCGTCGGTGTGCATGCTGCCAGCGCTTTTTATTTCAAGTAGACACAATTCTAAAGTGAAAGAATGACTGTAAAGTACAGTTTAGACATCCCTGATCCTAAATCAACCACTTATCCGCGTGTGCGGTGCCCGCACAAGGGGCGGTGACCATCAATGTGTCGAGCTTTCAGCAACGCAGGCTGTCCCCGAAAACTTCCTTCTGAGCGAAGGAGCAGGCACATCTCTGACTCGTATGTAAGAACACGCAATTTTGAGTTGGTAACTCGGTACGCTTCAGTGAACTTACATACTGGCATACTTTTTCAACGGGTTGCATTAGTTACTTCTTCGGCGGCTTTTTAGTTGCAGGTATCCATATAACTGCAAATATGCAATCTGGCACGGTGAATGTGTACTGCTACATCGTCGCTTGCGCAAAAAAATACTGAATATTCACTCGTGTGCATGGATATCAACCGAACAAAAGATTTAAATCATCTGTGCCAGCTGACTAGTAGCAAGTGCAAGAACTGACTATCAAAGCAAAAAAAAAAAACTATCGTCAGCAACAGCTGAGAATCTGTGGCTGGTCCTCCAGTCAATTTTAGATTTTTCAAAGTTAGATGCGGATTCTTCAAAAAACTGTGCGCTCTTGCTAATATCCGCACGTCATTCGGTGCCCGGAAGCCGTTCGTCACTGTCAAATCAAGACGCGATTGTTATTTGGAAAGGAATATCGTGTCAGTCTTGACTTTACGACTGAAAAACATGAAGTGTAAAGGTGCGTTTATTGGATAAATAGTCAATTTACAACCCCAACCACCAAGTTTTAGCATGGCGTAGTGGGTAGCGTTATTTGACATAAGCATAGGGGAGGTAGTGGCCAGATACTGCACCACGGTGGCCAATCCTTCTCTGGTGAGGCAGTGCGTTCTCGGCGGTGTTTGCCGGTGAGGCCGCAACCCAGGCCTCTTAATGCAGTTCCATCAACACGCAGATTTTTTTTTAATCCGGTTGGAAACTGCGCGGTACCGGGATTTGAACCACGGACCTCTTGCATGCGAGGCGAATGCTCTCACCACTACGCCATCGCTGCACCTGCTTCAGTAGTGATTCAGTAGAAATATCAGCCGTCATGCAAACACTGCGGAATCAGGGCGTAGATGAAGTATATATAAACATTCTGGAAGAAATCTACAGGGGATCAACTGCTACCATAGTGCTTCATAAAGAAAGCAACAGAATACCAATCAAGAAGGGTGTAAGGCAGGGGGACACAATTTCCTCAATGCTATTTACCGCGTGCTTACAGGAGGTTTTCAGAAGCCTAGAATGGGAACAGTTAGGGATAAGAGTCAACAGAAAATACCTTAGTAACCTGCGCTTCGCCGATGACATTGCATTGCTGAGTAACTCAGGGGACGAATCGCAACTCATGATTACGGAGTTAGACAAGGAGAGCAGAAAGGTGGGTTTTAAAATTAATCTGCAGAAAACGAAAGTAATGTACAACAACCTCGGCAAAGAGCAGCACTTCGAGATAGGTAATAGTGCACTTGAAGTTCTAAAAGACTATGTCTACTTAGGGCAGGTAATAACCGCAGAGCCGATCCACAAGATTGAAGTAACTAGAAGAAGAAGAATGAGGTGGAGCACATTCGGCAAGCACTCTCAAATTATGACAGGTAGATTGCCACTATCCCTCAAGAGGAAGGTATATAACAGCTGTATCTTGCCGGTACATAGCTACGCAGCAGAAACCTGGATACTTACAAAGAGGGTTCAGCTTAAATTGAGGACGAGGCAGCGAGCACTGGAAAGAAAAATGGTAGGTGTATCCTTAAGAGACAAGAAGAGAGCAGAATGGATTAGGGAACAAACGGGGGTTAAGGATATCATAGCTGAAATCAAGAAGAAGAAATGGGCATGGGCAGGGCATGTAGCGCGTAGACAGGATAACCGCTGGTCATTAATGGTAACTGACTGGATTCCCAGAGAAGGGAAGCGGGTTAGGGGGAGACAGATGATTAGGTGGGCAGATGAGATTAAGAAGTTTGCGGGTATAAATTGGCAGCAACAAGCACAGGACCGGGTTAACTGGCGGAACATGGGAGAGGCCTTTGTTCTGCAGTAGACGTAGTCAGGCTGATGATGATGATGATGATGATGATGAGTGGGTAGCGTACTAGGTTCCAAATTAGGAAGTGGTGAGTTGGAATTCCGCCAGTGGACGTTATTTTCATAATTTTTTTTATTTTTAAAGTGGAAAGACGCTATTTTATTTATATATTTGTTTAATTATGGCGAATGGGCAACCCAAGTTTTAACCTTGTGAAGTCATTTTGCGCAGAGTACTGGGACGCTGCCAGTCGGCCCAGTACCTGCGCCGGGCCCATAAAAAGACATGACGCTTATGGGCTATACTGGGCCCATAAAAAGACATGACGCTGGACGCTGGTACCCAGTAACGCTGGTTTTTTGCAATAGGGTTCTCATTAAACTTTCTGTGTTTCGCTCAAATTATGTTTATACTTGCTTTGATCTCGCCATTAACTCTCACTGCAGAGCCTCTGAAGACACCATTGTGGATGACTTCTTCATTCCTAAAGGCACCGTAATTATGGCGAACTTCTGGGCAGCACATTTTGACGTCAATTTCTGGAAGGACCCGGAGAAGTTTGACCCTACTCGTTTCTTGAACGATGACGGAACACTAATGACGCGCAAGCCTGAATGTCTTCTTCCATTTTCTTTCGGTGAGTAATCTTTAGCTTGCAATGAGCCTTCTAAACACTCGTGGTATGTTACCAAGCACCCATTGCGCAATATACTTGCATTAACACCCTACGATCTTCGCTATAACCTTCGCTACGGTTTGTAACCTGCTGGCGGGAAGCTTCATGCTGCAAAATCACGTCATGTACAAGGAAGTCGGCGACATCAGTGCGCAGCCTACTGTAAGAGCTCGTAGCTCATGTGATGGCGTAGCGCGTGGCGTAGTTTGTGGCAACAATATACACACTATTTAAGAAACACCGCAAAAAGTTATGAAACGCGAAGTGCACATTTTATTCTTCATGCCAGCCTTGCAGGTGAAATAACTCTATCACCTACCCACGCTCTATAAAAATAGTGTAGACTATTTTGGGAGGTCCTGAAATTCGGCAACCATGCTGATCATCTAACTAGCTAATGTTTGTTATCGCTCAACTACTCACCCACTACTTTTGTATGAAGAATTCTACTATTTATGATATGCGATTCCGACAACAGCCAGGTGGCCATTTGTTAGCAAGAATGCGTCGTCACATTGGCAGTGCACAAGCCTTGCACGACCTTAAAGCACAATTTTAATTGAGAATTTTCTTGAAGCGCACCTTAAAAACAGCAGACGGACAGAAGAGGCTGCCAAGAACAGCGCCCACTTCCACAACCGAGGTTTTATTGATCAGAAAAAAAGGTGTTTAAAGTGAATACATGGTTCTTTGCGCATGTGCAAAAGAGAAGGGTGCAAGAAAAAGCACCCGTGTCGGGATTCTAATTTTGTCCTAGTTATTTGTCGTTAAATATACTTCGCAAACAGTACGTGTCCAGATACGCGTATTCTTTATCCTGCCGCACAATCGTGGCTTGGCTAGCGCAGTCATGTCCCCTCTTTGTGATGCTACGTGATTCCACTATCAGACGTGTCAGCTGATCCTTATGTCAAAATACTATTTCTGTTTCTTTAAAAAAAGAGTAACATCCGCAGTTTTTCACAGTAATTTGCAAGATGTGTGTTGTCTGATGCCTTAAAAGACGCGTAGCGTTTTCTAAGGTGCTCATTCACGCATCTTCCGTACAGTCCAGTGTAGACTTTTCCAGAGGAAAAAAGGTATCATATTGCAGCGACAGGTTCGCCACGTTCAAGTAGTCCGCCACAGTCATCGTGGCACCAGCACCAGCAAGACCCGGCTGGCATGCGCCACGTGTTCGTGCGCTCTGGCAACGAGGAAAAGGAAGATAGTTGAATCTGTGAGAGTTAATGGCAGATGCTTTGGCACGAGCATCACTCGATGGACCAGTAATTTCAGTACTTCTCGAGTTAGAATACTTATCAGGGGTTAGATATAGGAAATTCGCTATTTTTACAGATAATTTAGAAAATATCACATAATGAACAGATTATCAGCACCTCAAATTTCCATGCAAAGCCCATTGGAGTCCGTCAAAAAAACTTGAAATTATAATCTCCAGATTCTGGTGCCGTGTCCGACCATTAAATTTTTATTTACACAGAGCTGGTCTGACACTTTCCCCCCTTTGTCCGTTCTGTGAAGAATCAGAAACTATTGAATATTATTTTGGCTCATGTCGTAACTATGCATTAATTAGGAAACGACTTTTAGATATTCCATTTGCGAAGCTAGGTTTAAATTTAACCACAGAAAATGTTCCAAGTTTTGGTGCCTCTGTTTTGGGAAATTGCCACAGAGATGCATTCGATGCCGGTGTGTACTTTTATTCAAGACTCTAAACGTTTTTCAACATAAAGCCCACGTTAACAGATACCCTCCCCCCCCCCTGCAAAAAAACGGGTCGAAAAGTAATTTTCAATTCTGGATAAATTCGTGACGTACCAAATTAATCGGGTTAGGCAAAACCAGCTGTCTGGTCGGCTCCTAAAATCAAGTTGTAGCTATTAGTGTCTACTTTCTTCTTGATTCTTTTTTCTCACTATCTAAATCTTTGGTTTCTTTCTATTTTTGACATACTGTCTTCACTATACAATTCCCCCAACCCCACCCCCTTTTTTTTCGTTGTAAGCAATAATGCAGTTATCGTCCGTATGAGACTATATGTTCTCTTGGCCAATCCCCCAGAGTGGGTACGAGCCATGTATTAGAGGATACAAACAAACAAACAAACAAACAAACACACAAACAAACAAACAAACTGTGCCACTCGGCTACTCGGAGTTGACGACCATAGTCTTTAGAATCGTGGGCACAAGTTAGCCATAATAAATACGCTTGTTTTTTTAACCTGTCTGCCTCCGCATCGCTACGTTTCTGGTGGAGTTGCTGGGTTATGAATCGAAGCCCCGCGACCGCGAGCTCAAGACAGCGTAGCCCCGACGACCAGCGTATCAACACCGTGGAAGTGACTCTTGTACACCAGAGGGCAAGTCACCGTCTTCGAGGTGACTCACCTGAGTTCGGTCCTCTTCACTTCACACCAAGGGGAATTCATACGATGGATGCCACCACTATGACTAGCCAGGTAACCCCGGCACAAGTGTTCATTTGTCAACCGCACCAGCCGCCAGTATTCCACAGCGACTCGTACGCGGATGTTGAAGATTGGTTGGACCTGTTCGAGAGAGTGGCGAGCTTGAATGGATGGGACGAAAGAGAGAAGCTCCGTCGCGTATACTTCGCCCTGGAAGACTTCACAAAGACATGGTTTGAGAGTCATGAAACCTCGTTGTCTACCTGGGAGGTATTTCGACAACATGCGGTGGCTACGTTCACGAACATAGACTGGAAAGAAAAGGCGAGGTTGCTCTTGAATCGAGGAACCAGCTCACGAACGAGAGTGCTGCTATGTACATTGAGGACATGGTCCGTCTGTTCAAGCGTGCGGATTACAACATGGCTGAGGATAAGATGGTGTGCCATCTAATGCGTGGAGTGAAGCAAGAGCTGTTCACCGTTCTCGTCCGCAACCCTCCAAGCACAGTTGCTGAATTTTACTCGGAAGCGACAGCCATCGAAAAAACACTGGAACAGCGGGCTCGGCAGTACAACCGGAGTCTTGACTGCTCATCTGCACAGGTATTCTCCAGAGGCATGCGAAACGACGTTGAAGTCCTGCGAGAGCTCATTAGACCAGTTATTAGAGAAGAACTGAGCAGACTGCAAATTCTCCAGACTCCAACTGCACTATCTGTTACGGACGTTGTTCATGACGAACTGAGGCAGGTGATACAGGAGTCAGTGCGTGAGCTGCAGCCGGTTCGACCTATCCGAACATACTCTGAGGTTGTCAGACAACCCATGGTACACAGCAATGCAGCATTTGCGATGGCGATGACTCCTCTCCCACCTGCGGCACGCAGCGCACTTCGTCCATGGGAACCAACAGCTACCTATCTACCCCCAGGAGCACGTGGCACACATCACTATGTGGAGTGTAGGCCCAGGAAAATTAACGTCTGGCGTGATCACGAGCGCAGGCCTCTGTGTTTTCATTGTGGGGAAGCGGGTCATCTGTACAGATTCTGTCCTTACCGACAGGCTGGATTAAGAGGCTTCGCGTCGTACGCACCACGCCCCCAAAACGGTGAACGACCAGCGGAGATTGAGGAGTACTTGTCCACGCGCCAGAACTCGCCACCTCTACGCCAACACCGGTCACGGTCACCATCGCCTATGCGCTACCGGTCATCCAGCCCACGTGGACCTTCAAGGCAGCCTGATCATCGCTCTCCAAGTCCCCTCGCGGAAAACTGAAGCAAGCGACCTGTGGAGGTGAGGCCGCTGATAACGTCAGTTACGAAAATCCTCCAATATGGTTTGAGGGTGATGACGGTGTATTTCTGGTAGATGGGTGCAGCAACGAAAACGTTACTATATATACAGCCCCCTTTACGCATTTCCCGTACGTGTTTGGGTGTTTTACGGAGCAACGTTCTGAACCTTTGGGCTTATTGACGCGCGGACACAAGCTCGCTAATTTGTTTGCTGCCTAAAACATCACGTTCCTGCCGCATCTATTTCCAACCTAATTTAACTTGTATGCCAACATGTGTGTGTATGTATTACCGGCTACGTTTCTTCGCTTCTTCATCTCTGAACTGCATCTTTGTTTTTTCGCACGTTGTTTCTCTAGCTACAAAAGTGCACACTGAGAAAATTAACTCTTTCGGGTCACTTGTTTTCTGGAATTTCTCCACTGGTTCTTGAAAATTTTACTGACTAGATGTCCGCACAATTTCTGCAAAGCTGACATGATACAACATTTCACTATTCTCCTCATTACCAACTTTGAGTGCCCATTTGCGGAATCTAGCAGTGGCCCAGCAATTGTGGAATGGTAACACTAGCAAACGTGTCCCCCATTAAGCTACAATTTTAGATCTAAGAATGGTAACTCATTTTTAGTGGCTGCTTGGTAGTACCCATGCTAATCTCTTTAAACACCTCTACAACACATTTTAGGGCGCCTCAAAAATTTTTCAAACATAATCCAACTGGCCCAGTTTAACTTCTTGCTGAAAGTACAACAAATTAACGAATGAAATGCGACATTGACGCATATTCTTACCGTGTGATAGAAAAATCTATGATCACAGCCTCTCTTTAAATTCGGTTAACAACCTCAGATTGAAAGATTAACATCGATCAGTGAGAAGTGTAAGTGAGCCTTCCTTTCTTTAGTAATTTAGTCATTGTTTTTGATAGTGAACTAACGCATGTACAACACTAGGTCTGACGGAACCTAGCTAAAACAGCTGTCACAGTTAAAACTAACGCTTAGCGGCTAACGGTTGAAACTATATCGCAATTCACCGTACACCTAAACTGGTGCACAACCTTCCGCCAAAGCGTCTAACACCGCATGTCATTCTGAATATGTAAAAAACAATAAACAAGGCGCACGGGGTAACAGCAACCCGTACTTGTTTAGGTAAATGTACGCTGAAGGCATTGCCACTGCAGAAGTGTGCTTCCTCAATAACTTGTGTATGACTGAAACTGCAGCTTCGAAGCGT